CGCCTTCGATTTCTTAGATTTGAATATCATGGCAAAAAAACTAGAATGCCTGGGGTTTCGAGGAACCGTTCAACGTCAACTTAGGCACGCCCCGGGGAGGAATCTTAGGTCCACTACTTTTTCTTCTGTATGTGAATGACCTTCCTGAGTTCCTCAATAACAACTGCCGCGTTTTTATGTACGCGGACGACACATCCATCTTCGTCTCCGGAAGGGAAGCTCAGGAGCTGATCAATAGGTTCTTTAGTGTTGTGGCACAGTTTGTTGATTTTTGCAAACAGAATCGTTTGATCATAAATTTGGAAAAAACAGTTGCGATCGAATTCACTGGTCAGTATGTTAAACCTCTGACTAACCTAGCGTTCAGCTTTGCGGGTTCACGCGTGGAATTAAACCAAGTTTCGCGGACCTTACATCGATGCCTTCCTAAAGTGGGACTACGACATAGATAGTGTTTGTAATAAACTGAACAAAACGTTTTTTGCAATGTTAACAATCAGAAATTCTTTGTTTGAAAGATCCTTTTTGACTTTCTATTACGCCTCAGCATACTCGTCTATTTCATATAATATCTTAAACAAGCAAGTGATGCGGAGAGGGTGTTCATTCAGCAAAAAAGGATACTTAGGTTGATTTTCAGACTGCCCCCGAGGCTATCCTGCAAAGATATATTTATAAAGTATAAAATACTAACAGTGCCTTGCATATATTTATTTAAATTATTCATCATCGTTCATAAAAATAAAGGATCTCACAAGAAACACACGGATGTCCACGGTTATAACACCCGAAACAGAGAACACCTTCTAAAGCCAAGACTGAACCACATGTTCTACAAAAAGTCGCTAAATTACGCAGGACCTTATTACTATAATCTGCTTCCTACAAATATAAAAGCATTATCTACAAGACAATTTAAAAAGTGCATCAGAAAGCTTCTGTCAACCAATGCTTTCTAAGACCTGAAAGAATTTGAAACATATATACAGGAGTGCTCTGATGATTTTAGTGATATTTTCTCTACATTTTGTCAATATGTTTGTACTGTTTGTATATCCGTTTGTAACTGTTCTATACTGTACTGTTAAATGTGTGTTATCGTATTGTTTATAAACATAATTCCATGTATCTTTATACTACTCTATAATGTACTCGTTTCCTGACGAAACATCCACTGTATAGTGTCCCCAGCCCGCCCCCCCCCCCATACTTCATAGGGTAATTCGAGGATAGATGGCCCAGGTTTTGAAATTTCATGTTAATATATTTGTGAATCAAATTATAACTGCAGTTTCTTTTTAAAACGAATCTTTATCGAGTTAGAAATGCGTATAAAATATATAAAATCAATATAAAAATAAATGTTTCAATTATTGAAAAAAATTAAAATAGTTTACAAAAACCATCTCTCCCACAGTGCTGAGGTGAGATGGCGCAACAAAAAAAAGTTTTTTGGCCAAAATTTCACTTTCTTTTGTACATCATAAAACCACATTCATCGCAAAAGTTAACAAGCTTGGAACAGGAATCATGAAACCACTTGGAGCAACATAAGCATTGAACCCAGTCGTCAGATTTTGTGGTTTGGGAATACTCCTCGCTACAACCAGCGCAAGCCTCGTCAGCGTCATCGACATCATCTGAAGAATCATCGAATATCGGTGCTTCTAAATCGTCGTCTGAAGATGAGCTTTGCGTAGCTTTCTTAGTTTTCATTTTAGTAATTTTTAATTTCTTAATAACTGGTTCCATTTTACTAATGTTTTTTCCTTTCTGTGTTGTCTTATCAGTTTTTTTCTTTTTCTTGTTGCCTCTGTAGTTAAAATTTCTGCCAGCTGTTTGTCCCTTTGTCGAACAAAATTAACTTCAGCAGAAACAACTGGAACAGGCGAGATGATATCCAGTAATTTTCCAGGGGTACGCTTAACAGGAGTAGTTTTATTGGTTTTTGCAGGAGGTTTATTTTGATTTTCTGGTACAGGTGCATCTACAGTCTGCCAACTGCAGCAAGGCTGTTGATTATCATCAGCTAAACCTTCAGGATAACTTTGAGAACCACCAGTAAGATTTTGTTCATTTTGTACTGGATCAGGGATAGGATCAACTACATTATTATTTTCAGTCAAATAGGCTTGACCTGGGATTGCAGAAGGATTAAAAGGCACAATTCCAGTAGGCTTAAACGCTGAAATTCCATTATTTACAGTCGCAGACTTATTCCATCCCTCAGCAAGTAACTTTCCATACTGTAATCTGGTGAGCTTTCGTCCTAGGTTATTTTTAATGTATAAATTACAAGCTGAATAGTAGTTTACTTTTAACGATCTGAAAAAGCATCTATCTAGGGGCTGCAAAAACTGTGTCGTATGTCGCATGCAAAATAATATGATGTTCTGTTCAATACAGTATTCTAGCACCTCCACGTTACTGCAATGTGACGTATGGCCATCAAGCAACAACAAAACTGTCCCTGGTGGCTTTCTGGGAACAAATTGATCTTTAAGCCATTTAAAAAATATGTCACTATTAACGTAGGCCGACTTCTTCGACATGTAAACCAAGGATCCAGGTGGCATCCCATCTTCGAACTTTTGTTTTTTATTTTTACCTTTCATAACGCAGGTAGGGGGATAAAAACACCTTCCGCGTTACAGCAAGCTATAACTGTGACAGTTTCTCCTTTTTCAACGGAGCTGATACTTGCGATGTTTTTAGATCCTTTCTTAACTATGACATGCCCCGGCCTATTATTTAGCTGCAGATCAGTCTCATCCATATTAAAAATATGTCCAGGTTTTCCCATAAGATTGTTTTGGGTGAGAGTATTTTCTAACACCTGGAAATAAAGCTGTACGTCTTTTTTCTTCATACCCAAGGATCGATTAATGGAGACCCCTTCTGCTTTTCTCACTGACAGCTCTGGATATCTCTGAAGAAATAACTTAAGTCACGGAAAGCCAGCTAGTCTCGATTCCTTATTAACTCCCAGCTGTCCGGCCAATTTAAAAGCCATGCTTCGCACGTCGAATCGTGTAGGAGAAAATCCGTTTTTTTGAAGTTTTAGGATGTGTTTAACCAACTTTCCTTCAGCAGCGTCGCCTAATGTTGACGAGGGTCCAAGAGGGCCTTTCTTCACATAATTTTTCGCTTTTCTTCTTCATGGAGTAGTACTCCAAAATTTCTTGAAGCCTCATTAACTCCCATTCTTTTTTCATTAACGGCTTGAATGGCTTCAGTTAACTGTTGTTCAGTCCAATTAGCCCTGGAGCAACTTCCGGTGCGCTTGTAATTGGTCGGCATACTGGAAAAGAAAAGGAATGTTATTGAGCCATCTCACCTCAAAATAAGTGAACCATCTATCCCCGCCGTGGGAGGGGAGATGGCGCACCTAACAAGCTGAACGCATTTTAAAATATTCGCAATTTTAAAGTTATATATCAAAACATAGATGTTTTTACTTACCTAAAATTATTGTTAAAATCAAGGTCAATCAGCACTAAGAAGGAATTCGGAATAATATTTTCATCCCAACCGAATCACAAAAAAATTATAGGAAAATACGGGTTTAACCGGTAGACATACACAGTTCGGCGGCTTGTTTAACTATGAACTAAAGTACACCATGGCGTCTCGACTTGTTTGTAGCTCTAGCGGTTGCGCCATCTCACCTTCTGCGCCATCTATCCTCGAACTACCCTATTTGTTATTTTAAATGGAACACCCTATATATTTCGACATTTTTTGAATCCTTGGTTAAAATAAAGGATCCTTTCTTAAGAAATTCCTATTTGAATTTTGCATAGTTTAGGTAGAAATTGAGTGTGTTTTTTTCAAATTTTGATTGCCCCATATAAAATTGTGTTGTGACGCTACTGATCCAGGTATTGCAACGAAAATTTAACGACAGAGATATGATGCACTACTCGATCAGTTTGACATGGTGTCAGATATCAATTCTAGGACATAGATGTTCGAGGTTCAAAATAACACCCGAATAAATTCTTGTTGAATTTAAAGTTGCCCACAAATATAAGATAAATTACAAACTTACCTTATTTTTAGTCCTAGAATTGTTATCTGAATAAAAAATATAGGATGTTCCATTTGAAAATCTTGAGATTTTGTTAACTGAATTCGCCAAAACAGCACGACCTATTTGGGGCACCCTGTATAAGCTGAGGCGCATCTGTCATCTGTCTGTGGATAAATTTTCGTTGCAATACCTATCAGTAACGTCACAACACAATTTTATATCGGGCAATCAAAATATGAAATAAAACACATAACCTCAATTTATGCAATATTCGAATTGGAATTTCTTAAGAAAGTGACCTTTAATTTAACTGAGGATTCAAAAAATGTTGAAATATATAGGGTGTTACATTTAAAATAACAAAGTTAATGTCGGGGGGACACTTATGGGACACCGAGTATCAACAAAATTATAACATTTTAAATCTTCAGGAGAGTCCAACAAACTTTTGTATGAAACTTTTTTTCGTATCTCCGATGGGTTTCCAGATTGTATAGTGGGTCGTTTTATTTGGCACACAGTGTACATTACATTCTCTCTAGTAATAATCACTGTAAATACATATGTCGCTTACCTCTGATGTATGCAATATTGCCCTATTGTCTCTTTAGATTAAAATACTATTAGTTTTTCTTTTCCACACACTCCGTAAAGTTTCAGACAAGCTGCATATATCTTCGAGAATCGTTACATGCCTAATAAATTCGTTCCAAAAAGCAAATTTATATTCATTTGTGCAATTTGCCCGGCGAGTGAGAAATTACGTTTGATACAAGAGATCGTTAAAACTTCCGCTTCGCAAAGTTCTTCTGACCTTTTATAAGTTCGCAGGAAAATTGGGTCAATCGCATACTACGTAGCCCGTTTTCATCTAAGAAAACGATAAGGTTCAAATAAAGAGGGGGCTTGCATTGGTATTTTTTTACAATAGACATCGCAGAGACTTATTCCTTTGTTTTCCTTGCAGCGGTGATGGTGAACACAGCTCTATAACGGAAGGGTTGCGCTCGGCCCTTGCCCGACTGCGACAAAAATCAACCCCTGGCAATCAAACGTCCCCATTGCACCAAGCCCATCCCAACGTAAGTACCATTTATTGCAGTGGTTTTAAATTTGGCTCTTGAACAAATAAAAGAACTGTTTATATCTAAACTTGCGTCAATTACAATTTTTGCACAAAAGGCGTAAACTATAAAACTATAAAAACCGATTCCAGAACGTTTAACGTTTTTTATCTTCACTTACTTCTTCTATATGAACTTCCATATGAAAGCTACTTCGAAAGTTTAATAAGCTTTGCATATCATGCATTGCATGCGTTTTACTACGAACCTAAATAATGTAATAGGAAGTTTCAGTATTTTTTAGATTTTATAAAAAATAATAGATTTCGCGACCTAGACCTAGTCGTAGCCACAATGAAACAAATAAACATTAAGTAAAATAATTGTAAATTAAAAGTTATGAAACTCAGTTTCCGTCCACTGGTTCGAACGGGAAGGAAGATTTTTTTAAAGCAAAGTTGAACTCCTGTTTAAATGAGGATGTAACTTAATATCAATAAACAATAGACGTGTTGACATATATTTTCAGAAGCATTAAAAAAATAAATATATTCAATTCAATTGATTACAATAATTTCATCTATCCATCTATCCTTAAAGTAATTAAAGAACTGTTCTACAATGGAAGACTTCTGAAAAATTAGAAAGGTATTCTTCAAAAATTAAGTTAAATTTGGAATTTTTCGCAAAAAAATATTTTCGAAATTAGATAAAACATGAATTTTTAGAGAATTTTAACCACTTTTTCAAATAAATTTTTCTGTGAAAACTATTGAAAGATTTTTTTTTGGTTAGGTTAAAGTATTGGAAATATTTGGATGGTATCTACGATCTTAAGTAGCACACCCGGTATATATTCTTATAGTAGTAGGTCAGACAGAACAAAAATGAGCATGCAATGCAATAGAAAAATCAATAAATGTATTAACTTTGATAGTGTAGGATGATACGTAATAGCAGGGAATCAGTGGAAGATAAGAAAAATTAATCACATCTAGTTAAGAGCAAGGTGTTCAGACTTGGTTCAATATACGTTCTGCTAAAATTGGAATCCAGACAACTTCCTGATTTAACACATATGTACTTCGAACACTGGTAGTTTTTGACCGATCAGGTTATCGTATATATTTCAAAGAATTCGTTGTTATATCACACATTTTTATGTGGTGAACTGCATATCTGCTCTCTAATTCTACGAGGATTTTATGAAAGATTGGTCACATTTTTTTCCCTTTCAAAATTACTGTGTGCGTAAAGGTGGGTGTCAAGTGGGCCTTAGGAAAAGACAAATTCACGTTAAGTGTGTTCCGGGCTGGTGGGAAATGTTGAAATAATGAAAAAAAAACCCTAGTATTTCGTGACATCAATACTGATATTAACTTAGGGCTGTTTTGTTTATTAACACAGCATCGTGCGTAAGATGTAGAGTAAGTACCTACAGTACACCTTATTTGATCAAAATCAGTTTTCATTTATTATTTTTTTATTCAGTATGAATATGTATTTGTATAAATCCGTACTGCAAAAATGCAAAAATTAAAAGGCGAATGCACCAAACGAGCAATAGCCGAAAGTCCGCTTATATGAACAAAATGTCTTTAGCAGACTTGTTAAAAGTTAAATAGTTTAAATATAGTTTTGTTGACGTGTAACAAAAGATAACAAAACAAATATTGCATTTTTGTATCCCGGGTAATAATGCTTCTTCAAATCTAATTTTAAAATAACATAGGGTTTATGCATTCTTAACACCATTTTCACCTATTCTCCATATATGTACTATATTTTAAACATTGAAATAGTATAAACCAATTAAAACATTTTTTATTTGCTTATTATTAGAACTTCGGAATCAGGTAAGAGCCCTTTATTTTATAGCTCGTCTTTAATCCACATATCAAATGGTAAATAATGGTTGCCTGCGATGAACACATTAACAGAGGCTAATTGCAAAAAGATAGGTCTGCCGTGTAACAAAGTTTCCAAAAATATGTTCGCGACTATAGTTAAAAAATGTACTGAAAATGACTAGACCGGCGCTTAGCCCAGCTTACGAAAGAATCACTTGTCTATATCTATGAACAGAAATGTGTGAGAAAAGAGGGCGGTACTCTCGAGAAACTACAGCACCCCTTTAATATTGGATAACGGATGATTCTGGTGCGCAGCTGGTTAGGAGATGAATTAGAGTTCCCTCTTATTCTAAGCAAGCCTCAAGCGCTATTCCGAACTTATCTCGTCTACACTAGCTTTAATTATGAGCAATTTATCTCTGATTTATCAGTTGTGTCTTAGAATATTCTTTATAGTATGACTAATGTTGACGAGATTCTCTCTTTCTTTAACAAAAATTCAGATAGTTTACTCAGTATTCATGCTCCCCTTAAACCGTCTAAAATAAGCAAAGTCCCGGCACCTTGGTTGCTTAATTTCAAACTTATAAAATGACGTAGAAATAAAGACTTATCTAAGTACAAAAAATTAAAGAGCGAGGCAGCCAAAAATGAGTACCAAACCTTGGGGAACCTTTTTACTATCGCTCTGAGAAGTGAAGAAATTGCTTGCTTATAAATTTCGTTCAGATCTCAGATTTCTGGAGAACCTTGAATTACTTGAGCACTAACACCAGACTGCCGCACATAAGGTCCATCCAAATTTGATCAGTTTTTTAAGGAAACTTTTCCACCTCATGGTAGTGACGAGCAGGCTTATAACAGTACGATCTCGGAGATGTATTTGGGTCGTCTTTATGACGGAATTACTAATCGATTATACTTTTCAACTGTAACTGAGAAGCATGTGGAGAGAGTAATATCCAAAATTAAGTCAAATTCAAAAAGTGTGGACGGCAAAGATATTAAAATACTTTCTTTAATTAAGCCCCACCTTACACCATTGATGACCTTTGTTATTAAGCAGTTTATAAACACTGTATTTCCTATTTCCTATTGCTAAAATAAGTTTACAATATGTAGAATATTGGAGAGTAATATATAAGACAAACTGGGTGTAGGCCCGGGCCCAATACAACTAATGAACTGATTAATATTTATAAGCCACAATATTCTTATTTGTAAATTAACGTTTTTGAGGCTTAAGTGACACGTGTATTGTTTTTATATAAAGTTATATCTAACTCCCACTAACTTCAAAGAGAGCTCCTCAAAGCATCATTTTAGGACATATACTGTTAAACACATATAAATATGATATACGGTTAGTGGTTTCAAAATTGTGCTACCTTGGTTATGAATTTTATTTACCATGAATATTTCTGAAATGTACTACGTTGTGCCGGTGGTATGTGGGATTAGAGCTGGTAGAACTCGCCAACTGTGGAAATGCGGAATATTTTTCTATTTTCATGTCATAATGATTTTGTTGTCTGCTCTGGTGCTCATTTAAATAGGATGGTCTGTTCTCCAAACTGTCCAGAATCTATTGAAATTTATTGTAAAACATTCAAATACAAACCGTGACACAGCAGCTCAGCAGTATCTCTAAATCTAATCGAAAATATAAAACATTGGAAAAATAATTTAGACCTAGAATTTGTTCGAAAAAACTTACAAACTTTGAAGAAAATCTTTTCAAAACGGAAATTAGATAATTTTGCAGGTTTAAAAAAAAGCATCAGTGAGTATACGGAGGATTTACTATTTATAAATTATCTGAGTTTCTCCTGCGTCGGTTGTGGATGAATTGAACTTGCTGGCGTTTCGCCAATCATCTTGTTGGCTTCTTGAAACCAGTTTGGAAAAAAGATTGGCGAAATGTCAGTAAGTTCAATTTATCAACAAACGACGCAGGAGGAATGTCGAAGAATTGTACATAGCATTACAGTGGCATGTGGAAGTTTCTTTGAAAAAGTTGTATAAGGATTTATTTTCATTAATAATAAGAATTAAATCAACCAAAACAAAATAAATTGTGTGAGGCTTTTATTAACCCCTATCAATGAACTACCCTGTATATTCATTGTAGACAATGTTGGTCTCTACCCCTACCTGCCTTATGACAATAGCGAAATTTAATTCGATTACTAAATATCATGATTTGGGGCAATGACCTATATTCAATTATTTGCTTCTCCGCCGCCCGTGTCTTTTGTAAGCGGCTTTATCATTTTAACATTATTTGGAAGTCAATAACCCCATCAGTCCGATGCTTTAGCACTGCCGCCCTCTCCATTATGTCGACATCCTGTCGGTGTCCAGTTCTATTAAATCTTAATCGAGGTATCGACTTCGGTCTATTTGGTGCTTATCGCAGAATGGTATTGAAGCATTATATCGGATTTTTTCCGTCCGGCATAATTTGGCCATTTTTAATGCCCCGATAAACTCACTCATAACCGTAAATGGCGTCTACATTACACCCTCACTCAATTCGAATTACAAAATAATCAGTATGTGAAAATATAAATTTGCAATGACAGGGATTATTAAACAGGGTGGACAACAACAAGGTGCAGATAAATTGCAAGGAAAATTTTCCTCGAATCGTTCCTAAATTAGAGTCACACCAATTTACACATAATAGAAAGAGGAAATTGGTGAACGAAAGTGATGTGACAGCGGTGCTACTTCAGATAGTTTATTAGAATAATATAATAATAATAATTAAACATAATTGTAATTATGTAGATGGAAAGATAATTCATATATTAATTATTTTAAGATCAAGTAACTAGAAACTATATAAGTAGGAATAATAAAAAAAATAGATAAACTGTAATAAATATTTTCAAAATCAATATTTTCGCCAATTTTGGTAACAAAAACTCCATGAAACTTGTAGATATTAATTTAGAACCACAGGTTGTAACGAAACCTATATCAAATTGGCAGATACCAAACTAAAATTTCGCTATCTGGATTGAATAATAACTCCAAGATTTTTTATGACAAAACACAAGATATGAATAAAATACCGCTTTTTCTAATCAACTTGCATCGAATTCCAGCCAAAAGTAGCTTTTCGGATACTCACTGTAACTAAAACGGTAACGAAACTAC